TGTGTGGTAGAATGCTTTACTCGTGTAGATGACACGTGTGGAATCTCAAACTTGGGTAATTAAACCTTTATATAAGAAAGAGTTCACAATCAGGTTATCACCTCCTGCGACCCATAACAAATTCCATCACATTATCAAGAATGTTTCCAGTCATACTTCCAACTCTTCCCATCAGACTATCTGGGGATGGAGGATACATCATCATGGGAGGATACGGTGGTGGAGGATATGGATGTCTTGGGAGGGGTTCGAATCCAGTTGTACGATGATAGATGGGTCTGAAATACGAATAAGTATAGCTTTTGCTCTGTCAGATTTATGGTCGTGGATGATTTTGACTATTTGGCATAGTGCCAGGTGTAGTGTAAAGCTACTGTATTTCCTCCCATCCAAACTGTTAACTTTTAGCTCATATATCTCAGTTCTTGTAACAGATATCAAAAAGTAGTCAACAGACAAAATGTTAATTATAATATCAAAAAATTTTTGTAGGGGCCTTTGTGTTAGTTTTGTGTTAGATATGATCGTAAAATACGCACCGCGGATAGCCTCATGAAAACGCGTGAAGTGAAAATCAATTAGTTTTTGAATGATTACTTTTTTTTGTCCTACTTTTCAAAAAAAAAATACGTTTCTCATGAAACAATTATTTCAAAAGGCAGTGAAAAGCCGCACGGCTAGCCTGGGCCGGCCGCGGCTTCTTCGAATATTTTTTCTGTAGCCGCGGCCGGCTCGGCCGTAGCTGGCCGCGGCCGGCCGTGGCACAGCCTTGCTTATCTCTTAAGAACGAGTGATTTTCGGACTATCCTCCAAGAGAGTTTTCTTCCCGAAACCCAAAATTCTGGATCGATTGATATAAAAATTTCAAAAATTGTAGAATTAGCGGACGCCCATTCAAACAGTAGTTCTTCCTTTTTGACAATATTCACTTCGATTGTTCTTTTCAATTTCTCAATTATCAACTTTTTCTTGGTATTTTCGTCCCTCTGGAAAACTCTAGAAAAAACCTAGAAAACTGACAGAATACAGACCGACATCATAATCGTCTTCATATGCTAGAGAGTGGTGCCGAATAGAAAATGTACTCAATAATGCATAAGATCTCCTTTTTTGGTGTCTCTTCTGTCTTCCAGAGAAACTGACAATTGTTTCTTTTTGCCTTCTTTTTTTTTTGGGTTTCTGCTTTTTTTTCCTGTTTTAGAGAATTGCTCAAAGCCAAAAAAAAGTTGATTGTCCATACTGTTTTCTATCATTTGCCATATTCGATAAATCAATGACTAAAGTTATTGTTAGTTTACTTTTTAAAATGGTAAAATTGAAACATTTAATAAATTGGTTTTCAAAAATATTTTCTAAGTTTTCATGATTCTCATATTTTTTCTTTTCCCGAATTCCCGTTTTTTTTTCAAAGTTTTCTTCGAATACTTATATTTATTTTCAGAGTTCCCAACAATCCATAACTTCCAAACTTTTTCAAAAAAAAGGGTTCAAAATGAATATGGTACGGATTCGTCACATAATGGAGATGCGGCGAGCCTGTAAGGCTCCGCCCCTTTTGCCACCGAAATTGAGAAAGTGAGTTATCCAAACGACCAACTATCAAGGCTGTGCCAGAACGGCCGCAGCACTTCAAAAAAGGATACTTCTGAGATAGGTAGGGTACGACGGCCTATCGGCCCTAGTAGTACCTGGGTAGCTGAGCTTATTTTCAAAAAAACGGCCGGAGTGGTCCACGGCAAAATACCCACGGCCTCGGCCGCTTTTCGCACAGTCTTGCCAACTATGTATATAGATGAGGATCTAACAAAAAGTAGTTTTGATACGGCCTACACGAAACATTACTTTTTAAATTTCAGTTTTTTGAGCTACAACAGCATGAAGAAAAAATTTCTGGAAATTTGAACCCCCGCCAAATCTATAACTTCAAATTTCCAGTGTGGGAATAGGTTTCCTATAATGATACTGTTTTCAAATTGAAAAAACAAATGCTACATTCTCGAATTTCCCTATAATGAAACCTTTTTTAACCTCAAAAAGTTCCACTGTTGCAAAATGTTGATAAATCATAATATGCTCTGTCAATCTCAAGAGGTTATATTAACGAAAATTTGACAAAATTGTTTTTAATGTCTTCAAACTAATCCAATAGTTTTGAACTAAAATTTCCAATTTTTCCAGAGAAGGCTCCGAAAGTACCGATCGTCGTGGTCCGAAGGATGTGATGGATTTAACATTCAAAGTGAACACTTTGGCGCCAGAACGGTATCCATCTAGAACGTTCTATTTCCATTTGTACGAAAGTCAAGATTCATCGGAGGGGCCATGGAACTTGGTGAGTCTGTCTAAACAAAAAATTAAGAAGTGATATAGCAACATCAAAATAATTTCAAAAATCCAAAATTTTGAAAATCCGAAATGCCTAAAATTACAAAATCGAAAGTTCCGAAATTTTCTAAATTCCGATTTCACAAAGTTTTGATATTTTTTTTCCTGTAGAATTTTTAGAGACTATATAGTGTTGATTCTTAATTTCTAAAATCGATATTAAGTTTGTGAAACAGGGCTTTTTCCGAAGATTTGAACGTTTTTGGAATACCAAAAGTTACGATGAAATTGAAAATTCTGAGAATGTCAGTGTTAAATTTTAGTTAAAAAATTTCGAAAATGGAACAATTTAGGAACTTTTAAACTTTTGAAGTTGGGGATTCAGAGAATTTCGGAAATATCAAAACGTTTCCGATTTTTGAAGATTTGAAATATTTTTCCGTATAGAATATGGAAGTATACAATATAACATTTCACGTTCTCCCACAGAACAATTCCGTACTGCAAATTAATTTTTGATCTACAGAAAAAAGTTTGGCGCGGTCACAATTGCCGGTCACAATTGCTTTTCCGATGTACTCTTGGATACTGAGCCTCGTTTTCCGGAAGAAAAAAAATGTCAAAAATGGTCATTTTGAAAGTTTTTTACAGAAAAAATCTATCTCCTCTTTCAGTTTTTGACATTTCTTGGAGTTCTATAGCTCAAAAAAACCGAAATTATTTTCTCTACATTTTCTATGGATGAATTTTTAATTCGTCTGATAAAACATTTTTTAAATTCAAAAAACAACGCAAAAATGCTATTTTGTGCAATTTCATGAGGTTTTTGAATTATAAAAAAAAGTTTTATCAGACAAATTAAAAATTCATCCATAGAAATGTAGAAAAATCAATTTCGGTTTTTTGAGCTATAGAACTTCTAGAAATGTCAAAAACTGAAAGAGGAGATAGATTTTTTCTGTAAAAAACTTTCAAAATGACCATTTTTGACATTTTTTTCTACCGGAAAACGACCATACATGAATCTATAACCACTAATTAATTTTTTAAGAATCATTTGAATCATCTTGGAACTCCACAAAATCAGATAAAAAATTCTGAAATTATGGTTTTAGACCTGCAACTGTGATCGCGCCAAACTTTTTTCTGTAGATCAAAAATTAATTTGCAGTTCGGAAGTGTTCTGTGGGAGAGCGTGCATTTTGAAATAAATAAAAATGCTTTTTGAATTTTCTGAATATTTGGAAATTTCTTTTTGAATACTTAATTTCTTCATTTGACTGATCATTACTGTCGAATTTCAAAAAGTCTAAAATCAAGATTTTGAAACATGAAAATTTTTTCGCTGTACATTTTTTTCTGTAATTCCAGCCAATTCTATATCAACCCAAAGATCCCATTCATGCGTAAAGAGACACTCACTTGTCACTCAAAAAAAAACAGAAAAAATGCAAAAAATGCACTAAAAAACGACTTCTAAAAGTATTTTCATGCATATTTTATTAGGAAGGAAACTTCTGGAAAAAAAGAAAATTTATTTTTTTTTTGATTGACAAGTACAATGCATATAAGAACCCAAAAGTCCAAATTTTTGATCTTTTTTCAAAAAGAAGACTTTTCAGATCACTGAATCCGATCGTCTGGGGACCGATGACGTGGCAAATTTGGAGGATTTTCTGGCAATCGAATTCAGTTTTGAACGACTTCAATGGTTCAAAATGGAGATGTAAGTAGGGGCGAAATTGGAGGGAATTTGAAATTTCGGAATAACAAAGGAAGGGTTGGCTTGGGGGCGAAAGGGAGCGATCCCCGCCCCGGGAGGCGGTATACTTTGCGTAATTGCGCGTAACTGAATGGACCAATTGACTTGAAAATTGCAGGGTAGCCTAATTGGGTGCCCTGAATCGTAAAATAATCTAAAAAATTCTGTTACTGATTCTTTAAATAAAGTTATTTTTCGACAGGCGGGGCGG